ACATTTTAAAAAATTAATTGAATTGAATTGTTAGTGCAAGTCTGTTGTTAACACAGTAAATATTTTATCAAACAACTTTAAGTTGGGAAGTGCTATAATAGACCAATAGGTGATTTTGGACAAGAACAAGTCCTTTCATCACAATGTGTTGGTTTAAAAGTGATTAGGTCTGCATGTGACTGCTGCTACCGTCCTGGGGAGGCTAAGAGCCAACATATTAAGGCCAGAGGAAACATATGAACATGTCTATACTGTATCTAGGTTAACTTTGTCTGGCCAATCTGCTCTGGTTTCTCTATCCCTAATCTCTTCCCCTGCTTTAACACGTGGGAGGTAGAGCCCATAATACCAGGAGCGGATTTACCTTCCACAGGGTGTGAACAATGAATCCAACAACACATGTGATGACAGCGACAAAGATCATCCTGCAATATCAACCACACAATGTAACAAGTCGATCATTTAATTTAAATGCTGATACTTATTTGGGATTTTAATGCATGTGTCTAAAATGATACTGAGATGCAGCACAGAAATATTGACTGTTTCAACTCCTATGTTCGCTGTAGGATTCGGACGGGTTTAATTCTTTTGTTAATCAGACTTGCATGATGGAAAGTGTAAAAACAGGAGCTCACAAACATCCAAAATAAAGTCTCAGTGATAATAAGTCAATAATTGGTGAATTTAATTCCCTTTTACAGCAGTAAAAACAATTTCTCATATGGAAAACATAACCAAATTGATATTACGCTAAAGCCGGAGATACACTACGATTTTTTTCAATCGTTACACGCAGCTACACTACGAAACCACAGGGTTTACAGTCTGAGTTCACAGCTCATCATGTTTGTTCTTACACTGTGCGACCTGACGCTCTGATGCGATCTACCTGCTCACACTAAAAACCAGGTGGGACTCAGCTCCGCAATGAGATGGCGCTACTCTGACTCGTCTATCTGGAAGCCAAACGACTAGAAGAGGAATATGAAGCTCACTAGAGTGAAACGCACGACCACCTTAGGACGGGCGACTGAATTTCAAACATGTTTGATTTTCTCCCGACCTTACGATTCCTGATGGGGAGGTGGTCGTTAGAGGCTGATCGCCCCTCGTTACCCCCTGTACACTACGCCACGCACCATCAGGCTAAAGGTCGGTAACCTGACTCCGCCAGATGGATTTGCTCCACATATCCATCTGGAAACCTTCCTTTGAAGTAA